TCAGAGTCCAATGGTGCTGGTGTTTCTACAATGAGGGGGATTGAAATGAGGATGACTCTGCTTTATGTGATTTCCTTGACCTGCCATAGCTTTGAGCTGCCTCACCAGCTTACCTGACTGCATCCAATTTCAAATCACTTAATTTCACCAAAGTTATTCAAAACAGATATGCAAAACTTAGTCTGGGTTTGCAAGAAAGTGCTGCCACTTATATTTTTGAATAGGTAACATTTTGCCCAAATCACCATTTCCCTAATCTATATTGCTTAGCTTTAAGCCATGGGTCTAATTTTAAAAAAACCTAGAGATAAAAGTTCTACTGGCTTCTGGGGACTATGGGCTGCTGAAAAAAAACTTCATGTTTGGTCCCTTTAATTATACACAAGTACAATATCTGCTGTGTGTAAGGTTAATGACCATTACCAGGGAGGTTTTTAAAAAATCATTTAAAAATGTAATCTCTTTGAAATTGCTGAAAAGTAACAGTTACCAATAAGGCTGAAAGGTTGAAGGGAGGCTAAACTTAATTAAGATGATGAACTAAAAAAATCAACTGGAACTAAGTATCGTTGCTAAACTGATTTTATAGCAGGGATCAATTAAAGCAAGTATCTATCATTTCAAGATAAGTCTATAACCTTACTTGTTTAGAGAAAGGTGCTAGGAATTTCTTCATAAACGACATCTATGATTGCCATCGGAGGAAAAATTTCATATAAAAAATAAAAAATTGCAAGCTGACTTCTTAGGTAGTTTGAAAAGACATTTCATTCTTTTATGTTATACTGCATATATACCAAAATAAAATACTGTTATTTTCCAATAACACTGATTGAATTAACATTGGCTAAAGCGCACTTGGTTATATAAACCTCATTGGATGGTATTTTGTGTAGACCAGGAGTACAGTATTCATGCTGCATTACAGCAGATCTGACCCCTCCTTTGGTTTGGAAGAAACCTGAGAGCAGGGACTGGTGTTGATGCTATCTCTGAATCCCCAAGCCCAGCAAAGTACATAGCACACAGTAGGCATTCTGTAATATTTGGGAGTAATTGAGTAAGTAAACAAATGAATGCTGTCATGTATATATGGAAGTTAACAGTTGTTACATGGGGAGAAATAACTCCATTCATAAGCAGGTTATTCTGCATAAAGCATCCTGTTGCTACCATCCCAAATCAGTTAACTACAGTCTTCATAAGATCTTTGGCTCATCTAGATTTTTGACACTTTGCTAAATGAATGGATGTTTGGAGTCTGACCACAAATAAATATGTTAATACAAAAGCATAGGCCAATTGGGTGCCCACTCTGGGATTTTCTAGAGCGTGCATTCCAATGTGAAGACCATCAGCTAATCTCTGCCACAGCAAGGACAGCTGAAGGCACACAAGTCACACCGCAACACCAACTCCTTAACACTTTGTGCTGTTTACAACATCATCTGCACATGCTCAGCAAAGAAACCATAGTATGAAGTTTTTGTGACCCAAGATTCCAAATCAAATTTAACAAAATATATTCTTCACCTCAACATTTGTTCAAGAATGTTTTCAACTCTTCCACATCCCACCCGTTTCCCTTCTAATACAGGATAATAATGCGATACAACCTACTATCTACATACTTTCCTGAATAATGTGAGAATGAAATTGCAACGTGGAAAATCAATATTGCAACAACGTTCTCTGGGAACTTGTATCAAATTAATTATTGTGAGGGAAGGACTAGTAATATATCAATAGTATGACTAGGTGTTATTACCAACATAACTACTGACTGTATAGCCCTGAGCTCCAGGCACTGTGGAAATGTTATGTGAACACCGATCCTGACTATACTTTTACTTCCTTCCTTTTGGCCTTTGTATTTCTGCCTGAATATCAACCGACAGTGGATTCTGTGTTTTTTGTCCACTCTGGCTATCATCTTTGGGGTTCTGATGGCTTTTCAGGGTTTACTGAACTTATTAAGTGTGGGGGAGCCAAACCTCTTCCAAGGCCAGGAGGAGCTTGCTTTCAAATGAAACCAGCCTAGCC